TATCTGTGCAAAATCTCAGAGCTTTATCTTAAATATTGCGATCTCTATCATGATTTCAACAGACGGACATGCATAGATCGACATAGAATTTCATGGAAATATGCGTATGACCCCGCAACTAGGCAGATGTAGACCATGTGGGTCTTTGAATACGAGCCAAATCCAAGAAAACTTCAAAGTAAATGGCCGCCTGTTTCTTTAGGAATATTGAGGTGTACTGTTATATGGATCAATATTTATATCTTTTAGTAGAAAAGTTATCTTTACATTGATCAAAAATCATTGCTCCAAATTACTTTCATTCCAATTGGCTTAAATTAGGTAGTTTGGGTTACCTAATTTAATCGAATTTGGATGAAATTCCTGCCCAACATAATCAAAATACTGCATATCGGTTAATAATGAAGTGTGGATGTAGACATTAAGAAGGATGTAGACATACCCCGTTTGTAATACTAAACATCCTAGAAGTATTATCAATGTGTGTAGAAAATTTCAGACCTCTATCTTAATTATTGCGATCTCTATCGTAATTCCAACAGACGGACGGACATGGATAAATCGACATAGAAAATTATTCTGGCCAAGAATGTCTATACTATATGGGGTCTTTGATGGGTATTTCGAGGTTTTGCAAACGGAGTAGAAAACGGATTAGCCAACATACAACATATTTGTGAAGACAGTTGTTTCAGTATTTGGACCCGATTTTATTTCAAGAAATTCTATATTCGAAAAATCACCTTTTTAAATATTACGAAGCCTATTTAAAGAAGATTGTTTTTGTATATTATATTATACATCGAAGCACATATTGACGTTTTTAATTTAATGCAACAATTATGGTTTGTGAGATGCTCGAAACTTATATTAACAAAATGTTGTTGTATTACAATTTATGGTTGTTTTTGAAATAACACAACAACAAAAATAACTGTGAAACACAACAATCATAACAATCCGACTATCTACTACGTGTAAATGAGACTAGGCATCACGCAATACATCCACAAGTCGCCTTCGATATCGAGGCCGGTATGGTCGATTTATGTATGGAATACTATAGCTATAGGGCAGACTATGAATAAAAAAATGTTGGGAATATAAAAAAAAAAACAAAAACACAAAAAGAAAGAAAGAAATTCATTAACATTTTGAAACACGTTTGATGTTTTGTTTACAAATGCATTTCGTTGGACTGGATGTTGGCAGTTGTATTGGCTTTAGTTGGCGGTGGTGGTGGTTGATGATTGTGACGTTGCGATATTTTATAGATATCGACATTGAGATTTGTGTAAGTATCGACCAATTGAAGCAAATTATTTTATGAAAGGGAAAAACATTTTACAAAAACACATTTACACGTATGATGTAAGACTGGTTTGGTGTCCATATGTCGGCATTATTAATGACTAGTTTCTTTCGATTTCTTATCATTTCAATTGTTCCAATTTTTCATTATCTATCCAATTTATATTTGAAATCGTATAATTATAAGGGTAATTGACAGATTACTTTCCTGTTTTTTCTTATTGAAATTTTGTTTCAATTTAATATTTATTTTTTTATAATTTAATATTTTTGCTGCAATTGCTTTGTTGATTCAGGATAATCGTTTTACGAACACTTGATTTCCAATTTCTGTTTAATATATATTTCTTTGTTCTTTTATGAAAATGTTACAAATTTGAAGATAATGCGCACAATAACACGAACAAACAACACAAGTGCCAAAATGCTAAATCCTACATTGCGCAGGAATGAAAGGCTATAAAAAGAGGACATAAAAAAGTCATGTTAACGCCAGTGTTAAATTTACAGACTAATGAATAAAGTGATTAAACAGACTTGGGGAGTTGGGGAAGATGTCAAACGCTACTTGAATGGGGGAATGTACATTGGGTGGTGAGAACAAAATATACAAACATTTGTATATGATACGCATATGAATATTTATATTAGTATTATATTATTAAAAAAAGGATCAAATATTTTGATAAAAAAATAAATAACACGAAAAGAAAGAAAATTGTAAAAAAGAACACGTAATATTCGTATAAAAAATATTTGGCATTTATTACAACAGTGGAATATGAATGTATGTATATTCAGATATTGTCTATAAAAATGTATCGTAAAACCTATTTGTACAAAAAAAAACTTTTTCTTAATTTTCCAACGAATATATATGGTCTGAATTTTTTTCACAGTAAATTTATGTTTGCAACAGCGAATTTTTTCATTTTGTACTTCCGGGCCCCCCCACGAAATGAAATCCTGTGTACGTTGCTGGTCTGTTCCATTACTTTTTTAATAGTAAAGCTAGTAAAAGGAAAATATTTCAAAAATCGCTCTCAGATAATAATTTGAAAAGTTCAGGAACGCAAATCTAGTATATATGTAAAAATTAGATGGCAATACTTCAAAATCAACAGCCAATCAGAAGTAGGCATTCCTGTTTACTCGGCCAAATTTCTCGAGTAAAAAGTTTACAGAAAGAACACCATTTTTTGCAACGGTTTTCGAGTAAAAAGTTGCAAAACTTGTAAAATAAGTAGATTCTTTTAGGATCTGGAACGGAACTATAGTTACAACTTGAAATTTTAATTTTGTGGCAAATTTGTTTGTTATCTTCAAAACATTTTAAATTTGGAAACATTTACAAGTTTTTATTTCGAACCATCCTTGAACCATATTTGGACGATACCTATATTTATTGCTAATGAACCAAAACATTATATTTGATTGATACGAACATGACGGAATATTACACGTTGAATTTCGTTCAGCACATAGCGGGTCAAATGAATCAAGATTTTTGAGTGAAAAATAAAAACGATCTTAACTTTGATCTCAGATCTCAGACTTGTTATACTCTTCACCATGTGATGTGCATTTATAATTTCTTAAATCGTCCTGTTCCTTTGTATAGAATATATGTTATTGTATAAAGTGGTAGTAGGTTGTTCATCCTCAAAAAAAAAAAAATGTTCCAAATCAAAGAGAACTGGGATAAGAACTTCAACATGCTGAAAAGTAAACGAATGAAGACTATTTTAAACAATTAACCTATATTGATTAATTTGTGGAATGTAGTTTTTTCCTTCAACAGGAATCCGATATGTAAAATTGTTGTCATGGGTAAATGGGCGGTACCTTCTTTGTGGAGCTACATCAAAACTCTGACCTATATAGACAAATTTCCGAAATCACTTGTTTTACCTCTATTATCCCGGAATACCGAATTACATCCACTGCAAAGGGAAAATGTGGCTTAAACCTTAAAAATACTGGCACGAGAGGAGAACTCTTACATCGGCGTAATGTCAAAACATAGATCTACATTGTTAAAAATAGTAAAATACTGAATATTGGAGGTACTTCTTATATGGTCTACTGTTAAAAGTGGACCAATATTGTCCATAAGCTTTAAAATACCGAACATTGGGAAATACCATTGTATGAGAAATATCACGAAATATCTTACATATATAGAGCTCCCAATACTTAAGATTTCAACCGACGCCAGCTAGACATGCATAGATTGACATAGAATTTAATTCAGATATAGAATATATAGTTCATTTCCAGCAAGACCGCAATAATTAAACCAGTAAGGAAACGTCAAAAGTCGGACTGACGGGGCACATACAAGAGATTATAATAATACTGTAGATAGAACATACGTAGCATCTTTGGGACCATTAAAATGGAATCGGGTGACATTTAATGTGTGCTCTACATAGAAATTTTAACTAATTAAAAACGACCCATACACATACCAATGTGAAATCTATGAAAAATTGCATGTCAATGGGGATCTTTCGTGTACCATTTGCATGAAATCGGACAAAAGTGCGCAAACAGTGTGCTGTCCAAAATTTTATATCGTTCGGAGAAATTTGGTGCACAAATTGCATGGAAATATATAGGGGTTATATCTACATCTGGAATCAATTCAATATTCTAAACAAAATATAGAGTAGATGGGACAGAATCTATGATACATAATTAACATAAAATAGGACTAAAGTCTATATGGGATCTATCTCTAAATCTGAACAGATTTCAATCATAACACCTAACATTCTACACAAAATTCAATATCCGCTGTCAATTTTCGTGTATATGGAACAGTACACAATTTTCATAAAACCGGACGAAAACATATGCGAGCTATATTTAAATCTGAACCGATTCCACCAAAAACCTTACGTACGTCAACCTGTACTTATTTCAGTACGCTGTGTAAAAAAATGTCTCAATCGGAAAAACCTTGAAACCATTTGTGAAAAAAATACTTGTCTTTTGAAATTTCTGAATTATTAACTCGGGGAGACGAAGAAAAGTGGTCGAAAATAAAAAGCTACAGAAAATTAAAATTACTAAATGTTAAATATTATGATTGCAAAATTTCCAACATACCGATAATGCGGTACAAATATGCAAATTAATTAATATTGATTAACGAGATTGCACATAAATTTCGCTAAATTAAAATTTCACACATGTTTTATTGGTACCGAATTAGAAAAGTGGTCTGATGTGAACATGACAATTGCAAGACAAACGAAATACAGTTCGATTTGAATATTTACACATATTTACACACTTATGTACATATATATTTACAAATGAAAAATATTAATTAATCTATTAACACTCACACACATCCACACGAATTATTTATTTTGGACTGAGGGGGAAGGCATTAATTTTAGCTTCATTTTCAAAAATGAAAAATACACATATTTGTCATTCCAAATCATAGATATATGAATTATTAAACAGTGTATGTAGGTGTGTATATAGTGGGCTTTTAGTTTTTAAGCGGAAACATTTATAGATATGTATGAATGATAGATATACGTTTCTAAGGAATTACACACGTAAAAGAAATCAAAAATTCAAATGCATAAACAAGGCATTAATTTCATATTTCAAGGATTAAGAAGAAATTTCAGATTCTTGTTTTCAAAATTAGAACATTGAATATTTACCTGCTTCCGGATGCTCCGCTGCCATAACGATCAGTGTCCATGTCATGGGATGCACGTTGACGTGCCGATGCTGAGGTAGAGCCACCGTAACCACTGCTAGCAGCAGTGCTACTGCTAGATGGGGTTGCATAGGCTGATGAATTCTTGGAGGTTGTATCGTCACGAGAACTACGTCTCGAGTCGAGACGATCGCGATACGAGGAGGTTGCAGAACTGCCAGCTGAAATGCCCGATGTTGTGGCACTGGAGATGGGTTTGTTGCTATTAGCAGTGGTTTTGGTCTTGACGTCTTCTTCATCTTCGGATTCTTCGGTGGAGGTTTCTTCTTCGCTGCTCGATTCGGATTCTGCTTTACTCTTGTCCGCAGCTGCAGTGCTGTGTTGTGGTAAGAAACGGCTTACGAAGGGTTTCTTCTCGGTGGTGGCAGCTGATGTGGTGCTAGCAGACGATGCCGCTGCTGGCCGAGTAGAACGTGCTGGACTTTCACGGGATACCGAGAAACGTGCAGCCGATGGAGCTCTACCGGCTGCAGCAGAACTTGCCGAACTTTCGGTAGAGGCAGTCGAATCACTACTGCCAGAGCGTGTAGTCTTCTTTACGGCTGCCACCTGGGCTGGTACTGGTGCTGCTGGTTTTGACTGTTGAATAGGAGGAGTAGGAGATCCATCAGATTCTTCTTCGGAATCGCTGACAGCCTAACAGTTTTTTGTTTGTTTTTGTTATAGTTTTATTTATTTTGGATGGAAGTTTATGGCGTTTATGGTGAATTATGATGAGAGAAACGGGCGAATAGGCAATAGAGAGAATAAACGTAACGAACGAGCAATCGTTGAACGAAATCATTGTTATGAAAAATGAAAAAAAAATCGAAAAGAAGTAATCAACGAAAGTGTTAATGTATTGAAGAAAAAAACGGAATACAGGAAACAAAATTGGATTACATATCGATTGGGAATGGAACAGAGGGATATTTACCGTTGGCAATAAGCTAAGGGGACATTGCGGGTGATCTTAATGAAAATATATAACAGCCGGATTGTTGCAAAGAAATTATAAGTTAAATATAAAAATAGTTACATTCATAAAAATTAACATTTAAACTATTTGTGATTTCAATTAAATTACTGTACTTATGCAAAGATTAAATACACTAAAAAAATAAGAAATTTAAAAGTTTTCTAATATTGTAAAAACTCAAAAATGTTTTATTCGCAATAGATATAAAGCATATTAATGTTTAATTCTCAAGTACAATTTTCTATACCTAATAATAGCTAAGTTATCAACCAAACATTTCATATTAATACTGACTCGTTATAATTAATATAAATATTATATACTGATAAGTGTCGGAATCATAACCTTTGGCATTGACATATGAATTCATTTAGATGAGGATATCCATTTGTCATTTTCCATAATAACAATCAATTACAAATTAATATATACATATGTACATAATAACATATAATTGCGTATATAGAGAACAATGTGTATTTCTTGATAAGGGTGGAACGCTGATAATTGGTATAAAATATAATTAACCACTTAACATTTAATATTAATTTTAAGATATCGATTGATGTTGTAGTAGGTTTGAGGATGGAGAAATTCATATTGGGGAAGAAGGACCTTGATGAGTATATGATAATCCCAGAAGAAAAAAAAAATAACCACAGGATATTTTTTTACTGACGACCCTATTATACATAGAGAGATAGCTACATATCTTGATTTTTAGCTATTGTATGTATTTTTTGATATTACATTTCATCAGTAAAATCGAATGAGGATGTTTTTTGTAGATCATTTCGTTGATATCTATCTGTGTTATTTTTGTCCTTAATTTATTGCACCAGGTGCCAAATACACGGTGCTACAAAACAACAAAAAATTTATTTAGGGGTTCTAATGTACCAATTCTGTTTAGTTGGAGTCACTGGACCACGAAAATACTTTTGGTTTTTCTAGGTCACTTCGAAAATTAGTTTTATAACGGTAAATGTAGAGTAAAACGTGGTTTCATAGATTTTTAATTTGAAACGCGAATATCTTATTTACTTTCAAACAAGATACATATTTGGTAAATCGGTTGAGGATTGGCTGAGTTACAGTGGTTGAAATGTGAAAAAATACGCAAACATAACAGTTTGTAGCAGGAAACGAGATAGACCCATAGTTCCTTTAGAGAATATGCATGGAATAACTACAAAAATGTGTATGTACATTTTTTAATCGATTTTTCTCATTTTCGAAAGCTTATTTAATTTTCTTCCCCGTAATATAATAAAACTGATATCATAATTTCATAGTACAGTCCGAAGAAAAATAAATTTTATTTTTTCACATTTCAATCACTGTAACCAGTGTTGCCAATTTAGCACTTTTAGTGCTAGATTTAGCACTTTTAAAACTCGTTTAGCACCAGAAAAAGTTATCTAGCACCTAGCACGTTATTTAGCATTTTTATTTTTTTTTTTGGAATTAGTCAAAATTTGGGGTATTGACGCATTAAAATGTACCTATGTTTCACTGTATGAGTTTGATTTTCAAATGTTAAAAAATGTCAGGACATCTGTTAACAAGTAAAAAACCTTAAAGTTCGGCCAATCAGAACTTCTTACATTTGGTTGCTATATCATTTTTCGTTGGAAGAGCTTCGGCTCGAAGTGGAGTTGCATCATCAACCGGGTGCTTGACCCATAAAAAGGCGTCGACTCCTCACCAAGCAGGAAATGAAGCTTTGCAGCGGATCTTCGAATTGGTATCGGCGGATTGGCTTCATTGGGTACTCTGAGCTTTCCCAATGGGGCGCTGGTCGATGCTCAATTACGACACCCAATGGTGCTTCATGGTTAAACCGTTAGGCGGGAATCATGTAAAGCCCACAGGATTCGTAATCGCATACTGGTAGGTTATTTATTTGGTAAATGAAAAGTCCAATTAAGAGGGCCTTTGTATGGGAGCCATACAAAAATCACGAACCTAATCACTGGAAATCCGGAATGTCAGATTTAGCCACTTCGGAGTCCCGAAAATGGGTCGCGTCCCACTATATAATGGCGTTATATCAAAATAGGACCTACATCGAAAATTTTCGGCAAACATATCTTTAAATAACAGCCACTTCGGCGAGAACCTCTATGTGCAAACCTTCATCTTGACAATTTTGTGGGGTTTTGGGGGAAAACCGGCATTAATAGTTATTAGTGGGAAAATTTGATACACCATTAAAATAAAGATTTTTAAAATCATAGTCAATTTGATGGAGATACGTGCCCAACGCCCTTAAATTTCGTCTTCTACGGAATCAAAAGTATGAAAATTACAGTAAATTCTACTAATTTCGTTTATACAAATGTTAGCACTTTTATTTGGCACTTTTTAAAATTTTTTAGCACTTTTTTAAACAAAATCTAGCATTTTTTATAAACAAAGTTTTAGCAACACTGACTGTAACTCAGCCAATCCTCAACCGATGTGACTCCAGGGACTCCAACTAAACAGAATTGGTACATTAGAATCCCTGAATAATTTTCGTGTCGCACAGTATTATCAACAAAAATATTGCTCATATGATTTTAAGTGAGGTCCCCAAAGACGAAAAAGTACACTTTTGGTCTTTTCTCAATGTCACCCGTGTCCTGTTAGTAAAACCCTATAAATTCAGTATAATTTTTTTTATGATAAACTGGCGGATTTGCCATAAACGTATGAAGAACCACGATCTGCGAATATGTATTTGGAATGTGAGCACGTTGTACAGAACAGGGAGAACAGTACAAAGCCGATATTACAGGAAATGCGATGGAAAGGTACAAGCGTAAGTAAATGACATAGCTACGCACTGTATAATAGCTGTCATGAAACAAGACATGTATTTGACTGCGGATTTATAGTTAATTGGAGAATAAAATACCTCGTCTTCAGATTCACTATAGTATATGAGTGAATTGCTGTACTCGTATAAACGCGAAGTTCTTCCGACGGAAGACAAAGATGAGCAGACCAATGACATATTTTACGAGTGCATAGAAACAGGATATGACCGATGGTCTGGGCATGATTTTAAAATCCGGCTAGGAGATTCAAGCATCTCGATATACACAAGGCTACCTGGATTTCTGCCGATCAAACTACGAGAAATCAAATTGATTATGTTGTGATAGGCGAAGGCATCCATCCGATAATTCTATCTCACGCAATGTGGAAGGGACTATCTAGAGGGAGCATTTTTAACAGTAAATAGTAACAGTGAGGAAGATACCCCAGCAGGTGCCGATGGATTACCAGCGAACTATTCACACACTGCGCCAAATCCTGAAAAAGACCAACAGAAAATGCATTCGACAGCCCAATCCAAGTCATCTGCGTTCGGCATTCCTGTAAAATTAATGCGACTATGCAGGATAACTTTAATTGACACAAGGTCAGTTAAAGTTGGAAAGAACCTCTCGGAGTCCTTCAATGACGAACGAGAACTTAGAAAAGGTGACAGTTTATCGTGTGACCTTTTTTTACATCCAGCTGGAAAAGGTCACACCAGATGCAAATGTAAACAGAAATTACACTCTGTACACCAAACAGAATATTTTACTCGCCTACGCCGACGACATCGACATAATGGGTCGAGGGTTAACAGCCACATTGGAACGAATTGAGAAGGAGTGTTCCTGTAAATGTCTAGAAGACCAAGCTGATGGTACCAACGCGTAAAACATGAAAAGATGTGTAACTCTAAAACTACAGCAACTACAGGTAGTGGACGATTTTATATACCTCGGTACCGCCATAAACAAAACTAATAATATCAGCTTTGAAAAAGAAGAATAGTGCAGATGAGGCAGCTCTTGGAGTGAATATCACCGTCGAATGAACCATGAGTTGTACCGACTATTCTTGGACATCGGTATAATCTGACATGTCGAGCTGCAGCGAATAGGTTGGCTAGATCATGTTGTGAGAATGGATGAGGATGCCCCAGCATAAAAGGCAATTGATGGTTCACGCAGAAGAGGAAGGCCTCGAATTCGATGGAAAGGTCAAGTGGAAGACAACATTTCGGAACTTGGTCTTTCAAATTGGAAGAACTGCGCACAAGATCGACGCGCCTTAAAATCATTTTTAAACTTGGCTTATGGAATAAATGTTCTGTCATAAAGAACTCCAACAGAGGTACACTACCATTTTAGTGTTCCGACTGCGATACGCAATGTTATTTAGTGTATCAAATTGTGAAACATTTCGATTATCGTTGTGCTCCGGTACAGTAAGACTAACATATTTTTCTAATGTTTCTGTTCCGGAACACTAACACTAAAATATTTTAGTGTTTGTGTTACACTGCTGGTGTGTCATTTTTTCAAACACTTATGTGTACAGTGGGGATATCAATTGACAATGACATATTTTACGAGTGCATAGAAACAGGATATGACCGATGGTCTGGGCATGATTTTAAAATCCGGCTAGGAGATTCAAGCATCTCGATATACACAAGGCTACCTGGATTTCTGCCGATCAAACTACGAGAAATCAAATTGATTATGTTGTGATAGGCGAAGGCATCCATCCGATAATTCTATCTCACGCAATGTGGAAGGGACTATCTAGAGGGAGCATTTTTAACAGTAAATAG